AGGCGATCTGATGGGCAGGAGGGAGGCCAGGCTCGAAGCTCGTCCAGTCCCGCCTTTCCTGTTAGACGCGCGGCCCCGTGTTGGCCAAGGCCGGTCACAGCCCAGACTCCTGATCCGAGTTTCCATCCCCATTTCCACGCACACCTCAGCCTCAAACACCCCGTAAAGCTATGGGAGCCGGAATAGGCGGTTGGTTCTTATTCCTTTCTTTTGTGAAGTAGATCATTTTGAGAGTGAAGCATTGCATTATGTTTTTCCCTTTTTCTCGTCTCCTCCCCAGAAGTCCAGACGTTGGAGACTTAGGGTCATAGAATCTGTGTGTGTGACCCTGACTCTGGCCCAGTGGAGGAGAGCATTTTAGGACAGAGGAAAGGCTCTCTGGGAGAAAGGAATCACAGACGCCCTGGGCGCTTCACTGACTCAGGTGGAGGGTCTCACTGTGAAAAGGCCGCCCACCCAGGCGCTCCGCCAAGGTTGGCTGTGAGGTCAGCGGCCCGCCGCCTGAGGGCTTGCCTGCAACTCCTGGCTCCTCCAGCTGGCCCCTGAGGACTCGGCCTTTTGGAAGTTTATGAAACCTGGTTGTAGTCAGCACGATGTTTTTTAGACAGTGGGACTTAGAGAGCCAGTCCAGGTGCCCCCTGACCGTAGTCCCTGCTGTCTGAGCTCCACTTGGCTCCGTTTGCCTTAAGAAACGTTCCTCTTTGCCGGGGCGGTCTTGAAAGCCACCGAGACCGGGACCCCGTGGTGGATGGAACCCCCTCCCAGTGGACTGCAAAGCCGCATTTCCTCTCGATCCTGGGCCGGTCTGGGCTGCTCTCCCATCCCCCTGCTCCTGATGATCCTGGGATCTGAAGGGCTCGTGGTTTCCTGGCTCATCTTTCCATGGCGGCTTCTTCACTGTGTCCCCACCCACCGACTGAGCCTTACCACGTGTGTGGGTTTCAGCCCTCACTCCCTGAAAGCCTGAGAGAGGCCCAGGGGGTTCAGTTTGGGGCGTCTGTGTTTCAACGATGCTCCCCAGAAGGCCTGCTTGACTGGAGACCTCCGGACCGTTCCCGTTGAGCCCAGCTCAGTGGGGCTGTGGCCGTGACCCTGGGCCTGTCTGCCCTCCCGGGCGACGGGGTCCCTGATGGAACCAGGTCAGAGCACAGGCTGCCGGGCAAACCCCATTCACACCCCCGGCGATGGCGGAGCCGCCTTATTGAAATGGCATGCTAGCATTTAAACAATATTAATACTATTTGACTCATTAAATATACAAAGGCCAGTTAAAGTGCTTCCATGTGTGTGCTGTTAGTTCTGGCGGGCGACTCCTCAGATGGCTTTATGTGGTTTCAGACAACATTTTAGCACATTCTTAAAATACCCACAAAAGCCTTTATGTAAAAACTCATAAATGTGAACCACATAAAAATTATTTTTTTCCCCCTGTTTCATGTCATTATGATCAAAGTAAGGTAGGTAGGAATAAGTTTCCAAAAACCTGTTGAGGTCCCTTCTTTAATTAATGCTTGGCGCACAGAGCCGGGCCGTAAACGGCGGGACGCGGGCTGTCTGTGCCCCACGGGCGCCTCGCCCCAGCGGCAGCGTTCCGGGCGGTGCTGAGCCAGCCCTGCCTGCTTGCTCATCCCTGCTGCTTTTGTCTTGGAGCCTCAGGTCGAGACCTGCAGCCACGCAAGTCCCCGGAGGTCCCTCTAGGAGGAGCGGAATGCGAGTCTCGCTCGAGCCGCACCAGGCGGCGCGGCCCCTGGGGTGCAGCTGCCGTCATCGCTTTATTAGAAGTCCGCTGGACCGTACGTTCGGACACCACCCCCCGGAATACCGTCCCTGCTGTTAAAACCAGTTCTGGGCGTCACGTGGCCCCACGAAGGGGCCGGGGTTCCCGCCAAGTGGGGAGGAGCCAAGCCCAGCCCAGCCCCCTTGCTGTGCTCCCAGTTACACAAAAAGCGAGCGTCTGGACCCAGACCAGAGGGAGTTTGGAAAAACGAGGTTTATGGGGGATGTTGATTTATGGTGTTGGGGGCTAAATGTTAAATTTCTCTTTCACAGAACAACGTTGTAACGATTTTTTTTTCTTTTAATTTGGAGGAAAAGACTAGTAACCACCATGAGACCAGACTGGAGCTTGCACTTTGACCTCCTGTGTGCCCCGCGTTTTGAACCTAAAGGGCCCTGGCCAGGGTGGCCCACGGGGCAGTGGACACGCCAGGGAGACGCTGCCCCAGCGGGAGCCGGGAGTGGGGGCGGGCCGGTTCCGCCTTCCGTATCAAACACCGCTGTGTGGTTCCTCTGGAGGAAAACAGGAATCAAGGGAGGGGCCTGGAGGGCTCAACCACAGACCGCCTGGTGCTGGGTGAAGGGGGCGAGGGCTGTCAATCCGCCAGGCCCTCGGCCTGCCCTGCCCCCAGCCCCAGCACGGAGGCCAGAACGACCATGTGGTCTGGGGGCCAGGTGAGGCTGTGCCCGCGAGGGGCCGAAGGACGCACATGCCTGCCGGGCCCCGTGCCTCCTCCCCAGGGTGGCCAGTGGAGAGACGGAGTTGGCGGCCCACCCTTCTGCCTGCGCGAGAAAAGCCACGTTTTAGAAGGCGGTGTGTTTTCCCTTTTGACGTGGGGCTGCTCTCCCGACAAGCAGACGAGCAGGGAAAACCATGCGTTGGGAGCCAACCACCTGTCCCCGCCAGGACAGGCATCGGCAGGTCTGCTGTGGGCTGCCTGCTCTTGCCCGGGGGTGCTGCTCTGCTCCCTGGTGGATGGGGGGTGGTGGGGGTGCCAAAACCCCGGAGAGCGGGCGGGGGCCCCGAAAGACATGCCTTCCGCTCGCCTGCGTGAAGGCCCGGGGCGATCTGGGGGGCCCCGCGTGCATCCAGCCTGCTGCGGGCGTGGCCAGATCCAGGCGGCCCCGTGGACAGGGGGCGCGTCTCAGGCTCTAGGCCAAGAGCCTTACCCGCTAGGTGTTTGGAGAGAGATCTAGAACAAGGGAGAGAGCCTTCCTGAGCGTGGTCCCTGAGTGCCCGGCGCCGGCCGGTTTCCTGGAGGTCACTGGGCCCCCACAGGCGGGTCTCTTTCTTCTCCCACGCCTTCCCTGCACGGCCGCCCTGGCCTGGAACCGGAGTCCTCCCTGGCCTCAGTCTTCTGACCAACTTTCGGCCCGGGGGCCGGCATCTCCTTCCGTCAGCCCACTCCTCGCGGCCGGCTTGCCAGGGGACACGAAGCCATGAGTCTGACCTGACAGTTCATGTGCGTGGGTAGAGCGGTGATGAGTGGTGGGGGCAGCCTGCCTGAGGGGCCCTGGAAGAGCGGGCTCCAGGGAGCAGACCGAGTGTGGAGCCTCGGGCACCCAGCCCAGGGGGCCGCGCTGGGCCAGAGCAGGAGGACCGGGCCGCCTCGGGCCTGCAGCTCAGCAGCATAGGAGCGCCTGCCTCCTCCATCTGATTGTCCCCTGGTTTTACCCTAGCATGGATCACACACTGGGGCCTTTGTGCAAAAACTTTTAGTCTGAAAGAGTTTCAGATTTATAGCAAAATTATCCAAACAAGAATATGTAGAATTCTTGCACATGCATTCTCTAAAGAGTACCATTTACCATTTATGTTTTTTGTTATGTAATAGCATCATCGAGGTATGCTTCTCACTGCAGTGGCTTCTCTGTCCCACGGGCTCCAGGGCTCGGGGGCCCGGTAGTCAGGGTGCTCGGGCTTAGTTCCCCTGCAGCTCGTGGAATCTTTCTGGACCCGTGATCAAACCTGTGTCCTCTGTGTTGGCAGAGGGATTCTCACCCACGGGACCACCAGGGAGGTCCTCTTGTGTTGTTTTTATCACTGAACAGTCCTAGAGTAGGTGGTGTCCCTGTGTCATAAGGAGACCGAGGCCGAGTTCGCACAGCTGTTGGTTCTGGATGAGGCACCGTCGGGCGGGCGGGCGCAGGCGCAGCTGGTGATGGGTGAGCGGGGATGGGGACCTGCATCCGCCTGACACCCCGCCTGCACATTTCTGTGCCTGTCCGCTGCTCGCGTCTGAGGCGGCGCACGGGCCAGGCCCTGCTGGACGGACCCAGAATGTGCCTGCCGCACCGTCCACACGGGGTTAATTGGGGTCAGAGAGGCCACAGACTTCCTGGTAAAGGATGTGTGAGCCGCCAGAGGTGAGCTCCTCCCAGGGTCTTCGTTGGGAGGCGCTGCACGCCTTTGCCTCCTGAGTCCCTCAGGCCTGCACGCACAGCCGCTGCCTTGCCCTCGGACTTGGGACCCTGTCCTGATTCTCTCTGCTACGCTGGCCTTTCCTTGGCCTCGTGCATCTGAGCTGCGTCGGGAGCTCTTCAGTATCGCGGCCTCATGCATCTGAGCTGCATCAGGAGCTCTTCAGTACCGCCGCAGACTGCAGAGGAGGCTGAGTCCCAGCCTCGGTGTTGCAGCCGGCTGCTCTAAACACCCGTAGACACCCCGGGGAGTGCAGGCCCTGCAGCGTCCGGAGGCGAGGAGCTCCCTGTCCACTCAGCGGGAGGGTTTGGACCGGCGTCACTCTGCTCTTTTTCTTCTCTTTCTGCCTGTGAAGTAGCCATCTCAAAAGATAGGAATATCAGGCAATGATGATGACTCAGTAGTAATGAGCCCCATTGAGTGTCTGTTACACGTCACACACATTACCGGATCCTTCCTCTGAAAGTAGCGTGAAGCCTGGAGAAGTTGAGTCAGCTGCTGGCGTAGGCCGCAGAGCTAGAGTCGGGGGCAGCTCAGACGCAGATTCATCTCAGGACTCCTCGCGCTGTGTTCCTTCTGTGACCCACCCCCCGGCCCCAGAGAGTGCCCCATCCTCTCCCCTACCCAGCGGATGCGCAGGACACAGGCATGAACCACCCGTGGCGTCCCCATAGGGAGGGCCTGTAAACCCAGACGAACGTCCTGACAACTCTGGGCCACACACCCACCCCTGGGACCTGGGTCGGCGATCTGTAGTTTGACAGGCTTGACATCTAACAGGATGTGGGCCTGTTTCCTGCAGGTATTTTGAAGGTGGTGTCTCATCTGTCTACCTCTGGGATCTGGATCATGGTTTTGCTGGAGTGATCCTCATAAAGAAGGCTGGAGATGGATCAAAGAAGATCAAAGGCTGTTGGGACTCCATCCACGTGGTGGAAGTGCAGGTAAGGCCCCCCCTGGTCGCTGGCTCTGGGGCTGCTTGATGAGGGGATGTTGTGATGTGTAAAACCCTGCTTTTCCTGCGAGTGCCCACAGCCACGCGGACAGATAAGTCGGGAGTACAGTCGTCACTGATAATAAAGATCTCCGGAGGGCTGGGGTACACATGATTGCAGATTCAGCCCTAAATTTAAAAACCGTGTGGGATTTTTACAAGATCATGTCATGGTGAGGTCTTAGGAAGGGAATGCTCGAATGACCTGAATTCAGGGACCCGCTGGGGCTCAGCTCAGGGTCACACGCGAGGTTCCGATCTCTGTCTTGTCCTGCAGGAGAAGTCCAGTGGTCGCACCGCCCATTACAAGCTGACCTCCACGGTGATGCTGTGGCTGCAAACCAACAAATCGGGCTCTGGCACCATGAACCTCGGGGGCAGCCTCACCAGACAGGTAGAGCAAGCGGGCCGCGCCCACACCAGCCCCAGAGCTGGCCAGGCTTGGAGACGTGTGGGCAGCCGCCTCCACAGGGTCTGGGTGCAGGGTGCCCCGCAGGCCTGTGGGTAACTGTTGAGACCCAGTCACAGGAGATGTTTTCCTCTGGGCAAGGTATTTACGCTAAGATGCTCCTGTGATGCTTGGGACGTGCTGCTGGCTGCACTTTAGAATGGATTCATCTCTCGGTTGTGACTCCTGCTCGCAGATGGCAAAAGTAGCAGTCTAGCCGGCTTAAGCAAACCGGAAACAGGACCGCTCGCTCACTTGCGAAGTCCCGTCATCGTCCAGCCCAGCGGGGTCTAGGACTCCCAGTGTGGGGGGGACCCCCACTCTGCCTGGGGGCACCTGGCGACCACTGGCCATCCTGGGGAGGTGTTTCCCTGCCGGCTTGGGCTGCTTGTCCGGAACAGAATCACTTCTGGGGTCATGTGACTGACAGTGGGTAGAGTTAGACCAACAGGGCTGTCAGTTTCCTGAAGTGAAATTGGGCAGCTTTCCATAGTTCGGGGGGGTCGGTGTGGGCAGCGTGAGCAGTGATGGCGGCCAGGGTTTCTGAGCAGCAGGCTGCTGGGGGGCGGCCGTCAGGGTCCCCAAAAGGAGAGAAGCGGCTGAACCGGAAGCTGAAGGGCTTCAGAAGAGGGAGAGCCTGCTTCAGTCTCCGAGCTGCGAACCAGCCTCCCTGGGCAGCTGCCGGGTGCTCACGTCTGCTCTCTGCTCTGCTCCGCCCCCCCCCCCCCCAGCAGTGCCCCAGGGTCGCAAGGGTCGCAAGTCACCAGCATCCTCCACTCTGCACCCAAGCAGGGCACTCTGCAAGCCCAGAACATCCGTTCATCTCATACAGGAAAAAAACGAGTGTGTCTGGCTAAAGCAGTCCACAACCTGCTTGAGTCACAGGGTCTGCATGTTGGAAGAGTTCAGAGGTCATCTCCCAGCCCGACGGGACGCCCCGTGCCGCCCTCCTTGGTGGCACCCCGGGGCGCGCGGTCCTGGGGGGTAGCCCACTTCCTTCACGTCAGCCTCGGTAGGAAGTGGCACCAGGAGGGAACCTGCTCTCCAGGGTGGGTCCCCTGCCGCCTGGTGGGCACCTCGCAGGTATGCAGTTGACTGGGCAGCCACCCCCTGCCCCCGTCTCTTCCCGTGAGCTATTGACGGTCCAGGGATTTCTCATTCTGTTTCTGTGTGGTTGATCTTTCTTAAAATGAGGTTTTACCTGTGGACCCACATTTTGGGTTCTGTCCCTTCTGCCCATGACGGATGCGTGGAGTCTCGGTTTCCATCATCCCTGGGTTCATTGTTCCTTCCGGCTTTGTTCCTACACATTAACTCAGATGAATGAGTCTGTCTTCGTAGTCGTTCACAGCCAAGTTCAGAGCTCTCCGGCATGGCTGTCAGAGACTTGCGTGGAGGAAGTTGCAGGGCGCTGGTCTTTAGGGTGAGCTGGTCAGGCTCTCATTCACCATCTAAGCAGACTTCACATTTCCAAATAGATGCTGTTTGAGCTGCCTGTGGCTGAATGCCACCTGCTGTTTCCCAGCCAGCTCCCTGCCGTGCTGCAGGCTCGGTCCTCCTCATCCTCAGGACTCCACGCGCCTCTGCACCTCAGGCTCCTTTGATGTGGCGAGCAGCCTTGCTTTGCTCTGTTTCCTGTCGCTGTGGTCCTGCACGCCTGGTCGGGCAGGTGGGCTCGCTGAGAGCCTCATCCTCTGCAGCTCGGGGGCGCCTTCCTGCCCACAGCCTGGTGCAGGAAGGCCCTGCATCAGTGCTGCGCACCGCAGAGCCGGTCACAGATCCAGAGAGCGAGGGCCCCACCCTGACCTACCAAATCGAGACCTCAGTTTCATATAAGTCTCAAGTAATTTATGTGCCCATTAACATTTGACAGACGCTACTCTCCTGGGTTCCACACCCAGTGCCATGTTGGCGGGGCTGGGGGTGAGGCCCAGTGCCACCACCGACAGGTCTGCAGACCCCAGCAGGGTGTCCTGCGCGTCACTCTGCCTGGAGACGGTCTCAGGCTGTGTGTTCAGGGCTCAGTCCCAGACGGCTGCCTGCCCGCCTCCCCTTCAGACACACCTTCAGACTCTAGAGTCCAGGTTGTCACTTGGGCTTCTGACCTACTGGCTGCACATCAGAGGTTCCCACGATCCTGTCCTTGGGGTCCATTAATTTACTAGAGCTGCTCACCAAACCCAGAGAAACCTGTTTACTCATTAGCCTTGCAGCTCCTTGCAGCGGACGTTTAAACATTACGGATCAACAGCCAGATGGAGAGACCCGGAGGGTGAGGTCTCAAGCAAGGCCTGCTGTCCGGTGGGGTTTGGGGGCCCTGCAGGTGGCGCCTGGAAGCCGCTGGTTTCTCGGCTGGGCAGCTCTCTGATCCCACCTCTGGTGGGTTTCACGGACACTACCTTGGGCTTCCCTGGTGTCTCAAGACGGTAAAGAGTCTGCCCGCAGTGCGGGAGACCAGGGTTCGATCCCTGGGCTGGGAAGATTCTAGAGAAGGGAATGACGATCCACTCCAGTATCCTTGCCAGGAAACGTCTACGGACAGGGGAGCCTGAGGGCTACAGTCCATGGGGCCACAAAGAGTCAGACACAGCTGAGCGACCAACAGACACGGAGACTGCCCGGTGGGCGTGATGCATTAACTCACGGGTGATCAAGTCGACCTCCAGCCCTTCTCCCCCCGGAGTGGGACTCAAAGTGCCACCCCTCCATCTGTGATCGGTGCCCCTGGCAGCCAGGCCCCATCCCGAGGTGGTTTCCAAAAGTCACCTCGTTCGCATCAACCCAGTCGTGGTGGAAAGGAGCTTGTTATGAGTGACAGGGCGCTTGTCACTTTATGGCCCTGAAGCGATTGATTTCAGGGACTGCAGACGAGACCAAATACCATAAAAGATGCTTCCATCGCTCACTCAGGACACTCCAAGGGTTTTGGGATCTGTGAGCCAGGAACCATGGATGAAGACCAGAGGTACACGAGGAATGGGGTTGGGTCATCCGAATGACCAAGGACGTGTGCCTTTCTCTTGCCCGTCCTTGGCTCAGTTCTCATGAGCAGCTTGTCTCCAAGATGTCCCTTCCAAGCATGCCTCAGCTGAACTGGGAGCTTGGACCAGGAGGTGCCGCCTTCTCTAGAACAGCCTTCACTTCCTACTTCACGTGCTGCTTTGAGCTTCTAAGCAAGACCCTTGCTTAAGCGTCCACGTTTAGGACTCATAACAGGCCATCCCTCGGGGAGGCGTTCGCGCCGGCCGGTGCCTCTGTGTGAGGGCAGAGGGCGCGCAGGCCTCGGGGAAGCCGTGCGGCAGCCCTGTGCACAGCCGTCCCCGTCTTCAGCCCGGAGCCCCCTGAGGGTCCATTTTAATAGCAAGGTTTTTTTTTTTTTTTTCAGTAAGATAATTATACTTTTAATAGCCATTGATTTTTTTTTTTAATGTGGCAGAAATTATAACTTAGTGACTTTATTGTTGTTTTTTGTTGCCCCGGGTCTCCGTTGCTGTGCACGGGCTTTTTCTAGCTGCAGCGAGCTTGGACGGCTGTTCTTTGTGCTGCACGGGCGTCCTGTTGCGGTGGCGCCTCTGGTTGTGGAGCACGCATTCTCGGCAGGCTTTGGTGGTTGTGGCCCACGGGCTTCGTTGCTCAGAGGCACGTGGAATCTCCCCGGACCCGGGATTGAGCCTGTGCTCTCTGCGCTGCAGGTAGATTCTTACGTGCTGTACTGCCAGGAAGGCCCTTGGTGACTCTTTTTTTTTAATTAAGTATATTTTAAATTAGAGGATAATTACCTCACAACATTGCAGTGGTTTCTTCCGTGTGTGTGTGTGTATGTGTTAGTTGCTCAGTTGTGTCCAACTCTTTGCAACCCCTTGAACTGTAGCCCGCCAGGCTCCTCTGTCCATGGGATTCTCCAGGCGAGAGTACTGGAGAGGGTTGCCATTTCCTTTTCCAGGTTTCTTCCATACATCAGCATGAGTCAGCCATGGGTATGCATACGTCCCCTCACTCTTGACCTCCAGTTCAGTTGCTCAGTCATGTCCGACTCCCTGCGACCCCATGGACTGCAGCACGCCAGGCCTCCCTATCCATCACCAACTCCCAGAGCTTACTCAAACTTGTGTCTGTCGAGTGGGTGATGCCATCCGACCATCTCGTCCCCTGTCGTGCCCTTCTCCTGCCTTCAGTCTTTCCCAGCATCAGGGTCTTTCCCCGTGAGGCAGCTCTTCACCATGGTAACTCTTAACTGCATTTGTGTTGCAGTCACAGAAGCATCTCCATGCTCTTCAACGGAAGTAGTGCAAGGCAGGTGCCTGCTCTGAGGGTCGGAGCCTCAGATTCTCCACGTAGAACCTGCCTGGAGCCACAGGGGGTCTCGGGTCACCTTCTCTGGCCTCGGGGCAGGGCTGTCCCCAAACCCTCCCAGAACCAAGGCGAGTGCACGCTGGGCAGAGCCCATCCTTCCGAAAGGAAACAGGCCCTTCTCTTGCAGCAGCACTGATGAGGCGGGGCAGAGGAACCCCCAGGCAGCTGGCTCCCACCACCCGAGAAGTGGTGGAAAATCCTAAATCCGTATCCGGAGGCGGCTTCCTGCATCACTTACCGCTCTGAACTGTTTATAATTCCACCCAGTTTACAGTGACCTGGACAAATATTTAATCCCCAGCCTTCCTAATAGTTTAAATCAGAGCTGTCAGCCCACAGCCAGGGCCTGGTTCCGGCTTGCCATGCACGCCGCCTGCTGCCAAGCCAAACGCCGGCCCGATGAGAGGCTGTCCTCAGCGCACCGGGCTGGGCCGCGGCCTGTGTGGGTTGCCTTGTGCTCTCGGCCCTAATAGGGAAACTCGGGCTTCTGTCATCATCCTCGCGGCCGGTCACATAACTCATCCGAGGCATATTAAAGCTGGGGCTGGTTTCCAATGTAAGTAACTGCAGGAGGCGGGCCCGGGAAGCCGTGA